GCTCCATGCTAAAAAGAGCAGGCTCCCTAAGTTAGGGAGCCGGCTCCAACATTTAAAAGAGCAGGCTCAAATTTTATGGAGCCTGCTCTCACCCAAATGCACACAAATTGGACTTTGGGCACTGTATGGACTGTTCAGATGATTACCACTTCGTATAAATTGTTTAATTGATGTCTTGGGACTATAATAGGCTTAATATATTATGGGAAACATTAATCCATGATTAAGCATAAGAATGGAGCAAAATAAATCTAAGGAAAGCGGTAGATTGCAAACTGATTTTCTATTGTCGTTGGTTTCAAATATTGTGTTCAATACATGTTATGGTTGGATGTTAGAGGTTTATGATGTATCTAGGATTAAGATTGAACCTAGAACAAGGATTAAAAACATCACAGAGGGTGTAGGAAAACACCGGGGTTGAAGAAGATGAAGCCGGAACGGACAACGGCATGCAAGGGAGTAAGAGCAGGCTCCAAAAATGGAAAGAGCCAGCTCTAATATTCTTAGAGCAGGCTCTTGGCTGTTTAGAGCAGGCTCTTAGATCCATAGAGCCAGCTCAATCCATAAAAGAGTAGGCTCAATTTTTCTAGAGCCTGCTCTTGCCCAGAAATCTCAAATAGTGTGATTTTTATGCGTTAATTGGACTGTACAGTGCATTAGGACTTCGTTTAACTTATTTTAAGTGTTGTATGGGCTGTTATAAACTTAGAATAACATGGTAAAATAATAACTCAAAAATGGATTAAAGGATGGACTATATAAGTAAATAAGACTTAGGGGTTGCACACGGTTGGACAAGTTTTATTGGCACTGAAACTTAACAAGGATTGTGTATATGATTTAATTATAAAAATATATCATATTTCCATAGTATTATAAGTATAGTGAATTAACTAAAAATTCTCTATGCTTACCTTGGGTTTAATTGATACTCAAATTTCTATTAACGGTGTCAATTCGTGAACTATATTGGAAGATTTGCTAGGTTTATATACCTGAGCTTGGCAAGGTTGTTGTGTATGATTTAAATATATATATAAATCATAATTCTATAGTATTTGAAGTATAGGGAATTAACAGAATTTTCCTATGCTTACCTTGGGTGTAGTGGATACTTAAATTTCTATTAACTATATCAATTCTTAGACTATAATGGTGAATGTGAATGCTTAAATTTATTGTAGCACTTTACATAATTGGAATTGGATTTTAGGCCGTACTGAATGCCTATTATTTATGTCTATGCATTAAATTTATCTTGTGCATATTGTGGAATGTGGTTGATGACTATTTAATAATGGTATGGTCAACTGTGTTAACTGGAGGATTGTATGTACCGGTATGGGACGGTGACATACTAGGTATGGATTAGTTAAAACACTAATCCTACCTAATTTGGAATGAGTTGGATTAACCATAAAAAAAGTTAAGTCCTACTTATATGGATATATATATATATATATATATATATATGAACCGGTATGGGATGGTGTTATATTAGGGATGGCTTAGTTCAAAATACTAAGACCTACTTATATTGGTAATGAATCAGTTCAAAATACTAAATCCTACCCAAATTGGATTAAGGTATGGATTAACCATAAAGGTTAAGTCCATCACCTACATGTGTCATATCAATTGTGAATTGAAAGACTTACTACGGTTTTAGGATGGAGTGTTTACATATATCAGACCACTACATAGATGACTGATATTTTGTATAGGGAGTACGGACTTTATGTATTTATTTTATGTGCCATGGTATGAGCTTGAATCTCAGGACCGTGGTTAGGGTGCGTATATCACCTAGGATGGATAACTGGACATAGGTGTTGTTCCCTGGTAGGTCTAGGTACTCATGCCCACCTTAGGGTGCGTATTTGCATGTTGCCTTCTATTCAGGCTGAGACAGACCTACTGGACTAGCGAACATCCTATAGTGTGTACTCTGTACATATATAGACTACTCTAGATATTATTGAGTCTTCCTAGGATGTATCTGCGTATCAGATTACTATTTGGATTGTAGTAGATCAGGACTTGCATGTGGGCCTGACCCACTCCTTTATTTTTCAGGTGTTCGTCAGTTCCAGGGTTAGAGCTTGGATGTGCAGAGCAGATATAGATATTCATTCCTCCGACTACGTAGGAATCTTCTCTATATTAGTTTTAGACTTTATTTCAGTCATTTCAGTTTTGGATGGAATATTAATAAGGGGTCCACTGGATGGATTCTCGAGTTGTAAACTTATGGAGTTTTGGATTATCAGATTTGAATAATTTTATTTCAAGGTTTATTAATTTAGTTTCTTCCAGCTATTTAATTTTATTTCTTATTTCACTTTGTATTCCGTGTTCAATTTAAAATACTTTAATTGTTATCCCTCGGGTTTGGGCTCGGACCTGATCAACCCGCGTCTCGGATCCGAGGGGTATCACATTTCACAAAAGATAAATATTAAATAAAATATGCAATCTTTATTCAATCAATACTAATTTAATATATGTCAACAAACATATTGAAACATGATTTTTTAGCATGTCACAATTCAAATCAAAGTTATATATCATCATGAATTTTAAATCTTATACAAAAAAATAAAAATTACTAACTTTCTAAATTTGATACAAGGCATAAATATAAGTTGTATAATCATGAGAAACACTCAATACAACACATATAATATCCTAAAACATTTTCTACCTCAATTTGAGATGAAAATCTCAAAAGCCATCAAAATGGAACGGCTCCGAATCCGACGAAACTATTAGGTTTTGTAGGGGACAATGCCGTGAACACAACCCCATGAAAGCCCCATCAAAATCACAACTTGACCTCAAAACCAAACTCAAAATTTGGCTAGAAATGGGTTCTAATAAGGGTGAAAGAAACGCGTAGTCAACACGAACACAAAACGCAAAAGCCTTACTATGTTCTAACAAAGGAATGAAGCTCAATAGAGGAGAGAGAAGGTGGCAGCCTCCCTTGGGCTGCCATGGAAGCTTCAGGTCGTGCAAGAGAGTAGGGAAGATGAAAAAATAAAATATCTCACCCCCTTTTTTATAGAAATCTCAAAAAGTGTCCCGAACGGGCCCCGCCGGGTCCGAAAAAGTGAAATTTGAGCAGACGCGCTCAAATGGCAAAACTCTGTGAACAAAAAAGATTCAAAATGAGACAATATGAATAACAGAAGAAACGGCGTCAAAAACCGAATTCTGAGTAAAAAAGTTATGCCCAAAACAAGTTTGGCGCAAACCGGGGCCAGAAACCCTGAAACTGGAAAACATCGATCAGAAGTAAATTCTAATAGTACACAACTCGATGAAATGTGAAAATGAATCCTGTACGAGAATCCAGGCTCAAAACAAGACATTGAGCAATAACTTTCATTAATTGCACAATGGCCCATCTAAAAAGTGAAAACTGCGGAACTACCCCAGAATGAAAATATCTTCCAAAAAGATATTTTCTTAGAAACCCCTGAAATAAATATCTTCAAAAGATATTTATGAAAAACACCCTAAGAAAGAAAAAGATTCAAAAGAACTGTGCATTCATACCCTGATGGACACCGGGAGTAACCAGAGTACTTTACTACAAAAGTAAAGATACGTATTTCATGGAAACCACTGAAAATGAAGATACGTGAAGTCAAAAACCAACTCCGAACACAAGAAGTGTGGTTACGTCAACAAAATGACAAACGGGGGAAAAGACAAAATAGGAAAAAAGACGAAATAGGGAAAAGAACGAAAAGTGAATAGTGTCTAAAAAATGAAAATATGGAAATGACTCGATCCTCAAAGGAAGTTATCAATCCAAATAAAAGAATCTCAGAAATCATTTCAGAGCACTCGAGATAACACTAATCGACAAGAAACCAAACTCAGAAGGGAAAAGACAACGGAAAAAAAAAAAAAAAAAAAATTTATTCGAAAAATCCGGGTCATTACAAAATTGTCTTTGTTATCTATAATTTGTACCATTCATGGAAATGGGCTTCCTTTTTTTTTTTTTTTTTTTTTTTTTTTTTTTTTTTGTCTCTCTCTCTCCTCCTTATATAAAATTTTAATATTGGTCCCAAATATTTATAATCTAAAAATAAATAAAAAATTCTCAATCTTAATATTGGTCCCAAATATTTATATTCTTAAATAACTTTATTTTTCCCTCTCTCTCATTTGGCATTTTTTTACACGACACTAAATATTCTTTTTTTCATGTTCTTTTTCTTGCTTTTATCTTTTATTTATTTATTTAGTTTTTCATTCATCACATACTTTCTCTCCTCTCTGTCGTCTGTCTCCTCTCTCATTACAATTTTGTAGTTTTATTTCTTCTCCACTCAATACTCATTACTCTCAATTTGAACCCATTTTTATTCTATTGAATAATTTGTAAGAAATTAAATTGAGATTTTCTAAATCAGGTTCTATTATTATTTTTCTCTAATTATTTTTTAGTTTTATTAACTATTGTTATTATAAATTTGTGTGTGTATATATATATTTCAAATATTTACATATTTTAACCAAACTTAAATACAATAATCTAATTAGTAATTTTTAATTTCATAGAACTAAGAAGGATCATTTTTAAACAAATATTATTCAATATTAATATATTATTAAAATGTCACTTTTTATTTATTGTCTAATGTTTCAAATTATTTCGAGCCGCTTTGGTAATGGATATGAATGGGTTGGGTGTTAGACCCGCATAATAACTTAAATTTTTAAGTCACACCGCGAATCACCCGACCCATTATAATTAGTTTGTTTTGTTAAACAAGTTTAGGAATAGAATTAGAATTTGACTAATTTATTTAAGAAATGGAGCTTGAGTTGGGCTATGAATGAAATAGACCGTGCACCGCAGCTAAGGTTAATTTGAAATTTGCTTTTCTACACGATGCCGTTTAACACACAATTGGTTCTTTATTTTCTTCTGTCGTTTTCAGCGAATGGTCTCCAAAAAAAAACCCTTATTGGCTCACTCAATGGTCAAAATACCCAAATTTATACAAGTTCTCAACCTACGCCATTGAATCACCCTTCACATCCCAAACACACCCATTAATACCAGAACAGGAATCACCACCACCAACCCAAAATTCATAGATTAGGAATGCCAATGGACCGAAACCGGAGACCCACAAGCATTCTTGAATCCCTTGGAGAAGAAATCGTCAGAATCATAACACCAGTTTCAATTTGCATGTTGTTGGTGGTCATTCTAGTCAGCATCCTCAGCAATGACTCATCTTCTTCATCATCGATCACCACTATAGCCACGATCGCTTACACTGAGGACAGCTCAGACTCATTCTGGGACAAACTCAAAGGTGCCCTTTTGAACTCACTTGTATTTGTTGCCGTTGTCACTGTTGTTACCTTCCTTTTGGTCCTCCTTTTCTACCTTAGATGCACCAAGTTCTTGAAATACTACATGGGTTTCTCTGCTTTCCTTGTTTTGGGATTCATGGGTGGTGAAATTTCTTTGTTCTTAATCCAAGATTTCAGCTTTCCTATTGATTGCATCACATTTGTGTTGGTTTTGTTTAATTTCGCTGTTGTTGGAGTGATGGCTGTGTTCATGTCAAAAATGGCCATTTTGGTGACACAAGCTTATTTGGTTGCTATTGGGGTGTTGACTGCTTATTGGTTTACTCTTTTGCCTGAATGGACCACTTGGATGCTTTTGGTTGCCATGGCACTCTATGATCTTGCTGCAGTTTTGTTGCCCGGTGGGCCATTAAGGCTCTTGGTAGAGCTTGCAATGTCGAGGGATGAGGATATCCCAGCTTTGGTTTATGAGGCTCGGCCTGTTACTCACCATGAATCGGGTGCGAGACCTGGGGTAATTCAGAGGAGGGTGTGGAGAGATGGGAGGGGTATTGGTTCTGATCTGAATGAAAATACTAATTCTGGATCTAATTCTAATTTGGATGCCAATTCTTCAACTCTTGGATCACTTTTAGCTGTAGGAAGCGGCCAAAATGAGAGAAATTCCGTTAATATTGAAGAGGGGTGGGTTAGAGATTCTGATCTCTCTGCACCATTGATTGAACAAAGACTAAATGTTCAGATGCATTTACAGGAAAATGTTGTGTCGAGGGAAAATTTGGCGCTCGAGGGTATTGGGTTGGGATCATCTGGTGCGATAAAACTGGGGCTGGGGGACTTCATCTTCTACAGCGTTTTAGTTGGAAGGGCAGCAATGTATGATTTTATGACAGTTTACGCATGCTATCTTGCTATCATAGCCGGTCTTGGTGTTACTCTAATTCTCCTTGCATTTTATCAGAAAGCTTTGCCTGCTCTACCGGTGTCTGTCATGCTAGGTGTATTGTTTTACATTTTAACTCGATTATTACTTGAAGCTTTTGTCGTACAATGTTCTATAAACCTCTTGATGTTTTAGAAAATGTAACATTTTATGTTAGCTATGGAATTCATGGTTCTTGCGGCAAATTGTGTGCCCTCTATCAAGATCTTTTAAATTTTTATTTTTATTTATTTATAAAAAAATGTGTTTAGAACTGTGAGTGCAACTAACTTCTTAAAAGAAATTATTGCTTCAGGCTGTTAATGTTATACTGCGAGGCTCAATTTTAATGTTTTGCTGCAAGGCTCAATTTGACTTTGTGGTCTTAGATCCTCTGATTAAATTGCCATAGTAATCAGAATGACCAAGAATTGCAAATTGGGTTAAAATAGTTGAAATGCTCCTGAGTGGGAGGTAGTGAAGGATATATCATAAATATCATCCACAAATAAGAAGGAAGAGGAGGGAAACAAAAGTAGGAAAAGGAAGCTACTTATTAAATTGGAACTGGGTATTGGAAACAGTAGGGAAACTGAAACAGGAAATGAAGCTTTAATTATAAATGCATACGCGATGTAGCATATTAAGAAATTCTAATAACCTGAAAAAAACTGGAAAATGTTTTGGACGCGTTAGGAAGCGTATGATACACATTAATATTTCATTGGCACTGTTACATGGATTTTCGTTTGAGTTTACCAGACTTTGCAAATAGGTTTCCCATCAATTTTGGAAGCTCTGAGAGCTGGAAAAGCAGTTGCGGGATTTAGTTTTAAGAAGAGGGTTTCTATTTACCAGGTATGAAATTATGCGAGTTCAAAAAGAGTAAATATAGGTCATAGAGTATAGAAGCTGGATAGAAATCTGTTACCCCAATAAAGCTAGTGTTCAAGAATTTGAATTTCTTGGAAGGTTTTTCTCCCTTTAGGTTTTTGGCAGGGTTGCCATATGAAGTTATAGTCAACATAGCAAAATTCTAGGCCTTATGTTCTGGCTTCATTCAAATATGCTGGATTTTTACTTATCAAAAAAAATATATGCTGGATGCTCTCTGCCATGACAGATTTGCTGTTGTACCTTGAACTGCATATCTAATGGTATTGTACTCCTCTTTTCTTTTATTCTTTACTAAATTAGAACATCTTTTGCATTGTGTTTGGAGAAAGTATATATGTTTAGTTTTTGCAACGAAAGGACACGTAGATATTTATGGTATGCCAGTATCTTATAATGTGCATTCTCATTTCCGTATAACATTTCAATGTAACTACTGTGCTAAGGAAAGAATTTCTGTGGTCTACTATTCTGTGCTATAAGTATTGTTCTTGGGAAATTATTGCAATTTGTAGCTGCTGTCAATTATTTGTACTACAAGTTAGGCACGCAGGATTTGTAGACAGATGTATGTGAACTTGCTAATGAGGAAAGGGAGAACTAGAGGCATGCGTTTATTAAGAGTGAGGATTATAAAATTTAGAAAGTGGGAGGAGATTGAGGGAAGTTGGAAAAACACATTAACATTTATTATTAAATTAAACCACATACCAAACTTCAGTTTAGAATATAGTAATTCAAATGAAATAAACTCTACAAGTTTGTTTAAAATACATATAATAGCTGAAGGAATGAAAATTATGAAAAGAGAAGCTTGTAGGACAACAAGAAATCCAATTAAGGTATGTTATTTCTTACTTATCAAAAAAAAAAAAAGGGGGTTGGAAACCATTGCTCTGAATGACATCATTCATTTCTTGTCTAAGCTTGCTATCACAAAGCTTTGGGAAGAACTCCAAAAGATTCTCTAATTCCCAGACATGGACATTTCTAGGAAGATGACATTCCAATGCATAGCATCTCAGTGCTGAACTACAAAATGCTTCACCCATCCAACTTTGTTCACAGAATCTCTTAAGATGATGATGTGATTCCTCGTTAGGGTGCTCCCCTCACACCAAATCTTTCCAAGACCCCACTAAATTCCCAGTTTGCACTGAAACACACTGTTCAAGAAAATCATCAAAGCTAGCACTTCATTGACCAACTCTTTTCAAGTGAACTCCAAATTCATTTCCCTAAGAGAACTCAATTTACTGGCGAATGAGCGTTGGCCCTAGCCCCCACACATTATAGCAAATGGTATGTAATGAACAAGATAAACCTTAAACTTCTCTCCCATGCCATCCCTCTGAATTTCTTGCAACCTTTCAGCAGCCAAAACCAAGATTGCAAATAGAGACACATAATGGGTACAAATTATTGCTAAAGTGATCCCTCATAGGTGGGAATGCTCTTGGTACTGGAAAAAAGGAAGTCTCATTTAATTATTTTTAAATGTTTAGCAACCAGTACCATAAGGATATAATCTTAAAAGGAGAAATGTAATCTGAAGTATTGTAAGATTCAATTCCTTGGTTGTCCTAGATGCTTGTATATTAGAAACCTCTAGTAGGTGTGTTGCAACAGAGTGTCAGGATTTCAGGAAGCTAAAGGATTGCAATGATTATTGGAATTTTGGGGCCATTAGAGGACTGTTCATCATCTTTGAAGATACTTATCAAATAAAAATATCATGAACACCATTTATATGCATGAAGTAATTAAAAGAACCAGGAAAAGAAGAAAAAAGGGAATAAAATATAACCGAACAAAATTTTGTGAAGCTAAAAGGGAACTATCGGGTTAATTGCACAAAAAAACCCTTGTACTATAAATTTTTGGCATGTTGACCCCTTGAACTAAAGATTAGCATAGAACCACGTTAAATGATCAAATGTTATTGAAAGATACCCCCTCCGTCAATCTGTAGCTAGAAAGTAGCCATTAATAAACTCACGTGCATGTCATGTAATAAACTCACGTACATCCTTCAGTTCAAAAACTGAAGGATTTTAGAATGCAAGGTCTCTCTCTTCTCCTCTCTTTCTCTGTCTATCACACTTGTGTCTCTCTCTTGCTTTCTCTGCCATTGTATGCCTTTTCTTCCTTGTCATCAACACTCAAACTCCAACCACGACATCTATGAAAACCGTAGTTTCTCTGTATATCCTCTTATCTCTCCTCTTTCTCTCTCTCTCAACAGGGGGTGACGTCGCCATGACAAGTAAGCTTACACTCTCTCCCCAACCCCATCCGACCGGACCAGCACTGATTACTGCAGCTGAACCGGGTGGGCTGCAATATCTTCAATTGGGTCACATCCATCAACCTCCCCTCCTGATCTCTGTCCGTTTGCTCCCTTCCAATCTCAACCAGCTCACCCAGTTCAAAAATCTGGCTCTCCAGGAGAACACCTTCCCTGGTTTTTTTTCCCTCTCTGGCTTTCCTCACCTCCCAGCAACAGTTTCACCTCAATTCCCTCCGATTTCTTCATTGAACTCATCATTCAGCGACAAACTTAACTTGGAACATTCTACGCCAGCAACACAAACTTGGTTGATTCTATATGTGTACATTTTGTTTAGATCCCGAACTTGCAGAACTTGCAATATTGAACCGAAATCATTCTGCAATACCCATGCTCCTTGACTTGTCTTTGATTCACTTGCAGGGACTGAGATATGGTGAAGGTGAGGATCAAACAAGAGAGTGAGATTTTGAGTGATGGAGGTGAAGCTCGTGTGAGAATACAGGGCAAGAGATCAATAGATAGGGCTCAAGTGTATTTTTAGGGGTTTTTACCTTTTCAGTTGGTGAACAACATTGTTAATTGTAGGGAGAAAAGAGTCATTTCACGTTTTCTGTTCTATATATATATATATATATTATATTGTATACACACCCGCATATATTAAATTAAAAAAAAATAAAGTCAATTTTGTAATTTCACATTGTAGTTAGGTAGCTTTTTTTTTTTTGCTAATTTTAAGGGGGCCTAATTTTATTCCAAGTGAGTAACTTACAAAAATTTATTGTACAGAGTTCTTTTTAACAATTAATCCTAGAACTGTTTGTACTGATTATAAACATGGGTAAACTTAAACTTAAATAAAGCTAATTCCTACTTTTGTTAATCAGGTAAATATTAGCAGCATTGTCAGATAACTCCGTATTAACCTTTGGGCATATATGCTTAGGGGAACTGTTACATTAATTCTAATCTTTTACAGAGAGATCCTTTTCATCTGAACATTGACTTCGCTTGCATTATTTCTTTATATGTGCTTAGTCTTTATCTGTAAACTCGGACACATTGTAAATTTGCAACAAGAATACTGTTGCATGTTTTTGGATTTCCTTTTGTTTTCTCCATTGAGGAAGCAGAAGCAAAATAAGTGACATTGACTTTGTAAAGTTTTCATTATGAAATGTATTTACCAGCTAAAACTTTCATGGACAAAATGGTATTATAACAAACATCACGCAAACATCACACAGAATTTATTAGAAGCATCAAAAAGTTGGAACATTTGGTTTTCTATATGGTCAAGAATACCAAATTGTTTTAGATTCCAAATGAAATATTTTATTAAGGTGTCATATCTTGCGGCATTGGTTAAAGGACTAGGGTAGCAAATGTGCAAATGTAGGTTTGAGTCTAGAACATCTGTTTTGTGCAAATAATGTCAATTGTTAGGTTTACTTTGATGCAACACCTTTCTCTGATTTCTCTTTTATAGAAAAAGATAAATCAGAGAAACAATAACAAGTTGGATTTCTTCATTTTTTGTAAATGCCCGTTAAATTCTAATCCCGAACCTTGAAATGCTGAGCATGTGTGTTCAGTTTTATTAAGAAGTGGAAGTACCTGACTCTAATTTAGTTGGGTTAAAAAAGGTTTTGTTGAGATGAGATGAGCCGAGTACTTGACTTAATTTTCCGCTCAGTATGACTTTTTACTTTGTATTAGTAAGGGAGATCTGTTGTATGTGATACTCCAGCTGATTCTTCTCTTTTAGCCAAAATGTACTTCTGTTAGAAAGCTGATATTGCATTTGTAGGGTACATATAATTAATTTCTCCTGTGGGCTTTGCATGTTCTATGTATCTCTTTGCCTCACTCAATTCCATTATAACATGTTTTGAATTACTTAGGGTTGGCTCCATAACTTTTCCTTCATTCAGCTCTATCTAAAGTTATATATTCTCCACGGAAACACATTATATATATATATATATATACACATACATATATATATATTTTATTTTATTTTATTTTTTTTGTCACGCATATTTTTGGTGGGTGTGTTTTTTTTTTGGGGGGGGGGGGGGGGGAGTCGAGGAAGTTTTGTCAATAATTAATCTGGATGATACGAGGAGATCTGTTTCAAAAGCTATTCCAATTTACCAGGTTTCAGATAAAATGATAATGATCACGTTTTGATAGATCTGTGCCATAAAAGTAATCATATTTTAAACCCTATTCATGTAAAATTCTAGGCTGCCCAGCAATTTTATATTCTCATCAATCTCATGCTGTGCATAGAAAATGATATATTATGTTGGGATATGTAATAAATTGGTTGAAAATTTTGAATGAAAAAATCATCTAATGTAAAAATCCTATGGGATAGGATGACCACCTAGTTTTGGTGCAGTAATTTGATGGGGTTCTCTGAATTTAATGGTGAGTGATTGACCATTTTTTGTACTCTTGCATCACCTGAAATTACCAACCAGCTCAATGTTAGTTCCTCTTGGCAATCTGGTTTGTTTGTGTTTAGGTGACATCATTGGATACCATGATGGCAACACATTCTGTCCTATTTCAAGGCAGTTGACATGAGTTTTGCAATTAAAGCCTACCTTGCGCTTCAGCAAAGTTTGTTGTGGAGGGTGATTGTACTGTTTTCATTAGATGAATCAAGGAATGGAGTAGAGGTTCTGCCATACCGTACTGCAGCATTAGCTGATGATGGATTTCACGCCACGGAATGAATCGAGGAACTAAGGACGTTTCCAATACCGGCAGCAGCTCCCGCTAAAGCAATTGTAGCAGCTCTTGCACCCATTGATTTTGCACCTTCTAACATCTCGAGCGAGGATTCGGCAATGAGTTGGATTAGTGAAGGAATGGATATTTGCATCTGTTAACTCAGTACTGCATAAAGCCCACTTTCCTTGAGTTGTGATGTAGGAGGAGCCTTTTTATTTTCCAATCTAGTTTTTACTTTCTTCCTATATATTTTCCCACTTGTGCCTTGGTGCATGCCAAAAACTTCTCATGCTATGTGCACTTATCCATCTTGATTCAGTTGGCTGTAGCTGTACCTAGAAATGGTAAAGGAATTTTTTTAGCTTATGGTAATATCAGCTTTGTGTGGAAATTTTATACTTTGTCTATGACCTTTATAGGATAGAAATGTGTTTTTTATTTGATGAAATTGGTTTTTGTTCAATACAATGGGAAAAAAAGTGGTCAATGCACGTGTGAATGATGAGTCTGGATCCTCTGCAGTACTGTGCATGTGTGAATGATTACGTTACTACGTGTAAGTGATGTGATCAGTGGATACAAGTACAACACTTGTGTTGTAATTTATCTGATCCACTCACGTATCAATTTTAGTATTTTTACTTTTTGTATGGGCACAACTCCCAAACTAAGCATTTACCATCCACATTCTTAGTTGCCCTCAAAATTTGTCGAGGTTAACGAAAGACTAAGATCCTTTCACTTAAAAAACTAATAAACTCGAGTGAGATCCTTTCAATTAAGAAAGTGAGAACTCGAGTGAAATTATAAAGGGTTAAAGAAAAGATTCATATTGATATCGCGTTGAATTCTTAAAGGAGGTCAAAATAATAAATACTAAAATTATTTATTCGTGTGCAATTTGCTCAAATTTTAGGATAGTTCAGTATAATATATCCTAAAGTTTTGTCAAACAAGACCTAAATGCTTATTTATTCATTTTTCAGTATCTCCAGAGGTTTCAAAGTTTATATCTATCTATAGTATGAAGGGGTTTAAGCACTAAATTCTAAAAAAAGGTAAAGTGCAAAGAACTTTCTTGCTATATTATACAAAAATGTGCAATTTTTTATGTACATATAAATTCCTATATTTTCAAAATTTAGAGCAAAATTGCCCCTATTGCAGTTTCCGAGGTCAGATATTTTGGAAAACCGAAATCACTCTTTTTGAGTGACAAAAATGCCCCTTCTAGTTTTCAATATATTTGAACACACAAGGGCCTTGTTTGAATAGGATGCAATCTCTGTCCAATCTCTCTCTCTAAAAAAAATATATATATCTCTCCTAAATTCTCTCTCTCCCTTGGACCCTTCCCAAACATTTTCTTTCTCCACTCTCCAGTTACACACCCCCAACAATTCAACCCAAAGCCCTTTCAAACCAAAAATCCTTCCTTGCAACAATTGCAACACACTCACTGTCCTTCATTTAGTCAAAAACCGAACTGCATCAGTTGCTTTGTTAATTGTATATATTTATACATATATATAGATAAATTTTTAGTGTTTTTTTAGCTTTAAGGGCAGCGGCGGAGCCAGGGGTGGGCCAGCAGGGGCCATGGCTCCCCAAAGTTTTTTAAAAACTTCATTTATACCCCTAAATATTAATTACTTTATATATATTATCCCTAAAATTTATTAAAAACTTTAATTGACCCCCCTTTTTTTTCAGAACACTTGTATATTGACCCAAAATAGAGAATTTGAAAATAAATTTAGTTTGTGTCTCCTTAAAATTTAATAATTTTTCAACTTGGATTCTTTTAATTATATTTTTAAAAGCTCAAATTTAAAATTTTTTACAATTGGTGTATAAATTTTTCTCACTTTAAATACATAGTACAAACCCGCCTCCCAACCTCAAATTTTTGACTCTATCCCTGCTTAAGGGTAATTTTGTCATTTGGTATTTTATCTGGTATTTTATCTATTTATAAAGTAAGGATACATTAGTGATTTCATTGTTCAGTTATCCTCAAATTGAAGATTTATCCTTATTTATATAAAAATGAGAGGATGCAAAATATATATATATATAAATAAATAAATAAAGGAAAAAAAAGGGGACATATTTGAATATTGCGTCAAATTTATATGAGATAAAATGAAGAGTTGTGTACCAAAAAATGTGAAAAAATAAAAAAATAAAAAATAAAAATTTGATGTACTTCATGATTTTTTATTTAATCTTGAATTAGTTAGCTACTTATTTATAAGCTTATTTGGCTTAAAAGAATTTTTTTTAATATAAGAAAGATTAACTTAAATTCAATTCTTTCGATATATATCTTCGTTTGGAAATAATTAAAACTAGAAGTTACAGTTTTTTTACCATGAATGAGTGGCCTCTAGCTTTCTCGTAAATAAGAATCTTAATTTACATAATTCACTTAAAAAAATTTATAATTATATTTTGATCTGATATTTTCTAATTACGGTTAAATTTTAAAAAAAATACACCTAACAAAAATATCGAGTGGTTGAAAAATATAAAGAGTGCATGCGTGTGTGTACACACACACACATTTGTATATATAACACATTTGTATATATAACGAAAAATATTAGTAGAGAAAAACTTAGTGTGATTGTTGTAAAATAGAAGACACTAATGTCTTTTTAGTCATCGTCACATCAAATTCAAGATCACATTTTGAATATTAATTAATTTGAGATGTGTAGCACGGCTTAAAAAAAGAATCAGTACTAAAAACAAGGTTTTCTAACATGAATATACCATACTTGTTATTATTATTATTATTATTAAAAAAGTAACATCATCAAATCAAAACTATGTCCAAGTTTGTTTTTCCATTTAGGGTAAATTATAATGACACTTTTTGATATTTATCCTATTGACAGTCACAGACAAGTTAACTTTTTTTTAAGCAATGATACCCCTATCAACTTTCGCACATAAATATATTATGGAATGTTTAACTTTAAGGGGTGTGAGTGTAATTTTACTCTAAGAGTTGGGAGTAGAAATAAAAAGAGAGAAATTTACAAACATATTGCGGCGATGGTTGATGATTGGCGCGCACGATGGGAAGAGTTCTTTATATTGGGGGAAGAGATATAGATAGAGATGGAGAGAGATAGAGTTGCCGAAAACCCTGGTAAGCCTTCAATCTCTGGTGTCGCTCTCATTTCCCAGGGGTACCCTCTCCACCCTTCTCTCTCCTCTCTCCTCTAAAATTGACTTTTTTTTGAATTTCTTGCCTGCTTCTATGTGTCTGTAAATTGAAGCGAGACGAAGAGAGGAGACTTCTGATTGCCAGGCCATTTCAGGTGACTGGGTATCAGATCGAAACTCTCTTCCAACTCCAAAAAGGCTATTATTAATTGTAGGCAATTGAAGTAAGTTCTGTTTCTCCTTTTTTTTTTCTTCATATATTATTATGAATTTATCATCCTTATTTATGTGTTTCCATTAATTTTTATTATTATTATATGTATTATTATTTTATCGTGGCCAATTGTAATTATTGGACACCGATGTGTTAATTATTTGAATTAATTTATACATGAAAAAGTTGGGAATTGTTAGAACCTCCAACCTCTCTTAGAATGTTCAGTATGATTACCCTAAAACCCATGTTCACAATTGTTAATTTTCTCTATAGGATTTGTTTGTTTTGGACATTCGATGAAATTGGATCAAATTTAGAGAAAATTAGAATGGTTCTTTTGCAAGGATCCTTGCAATGAACAAATTGAGAAATGAAAAATTACTTACCGGCAAAGGCACTAGGCCAAGGCCTGGATGCTTATTTCTGACAAGAAATCCAAGATATTTTTTAGTGAAATGATGTGGATTGAAGCACAAAAATAAGTTTAACAAAAACAATATGGTTTAATATGTTGTAGAAGAAATACTTGATCTTACAGTAGTTAAACTGCATTATTATTATGTTACTTGGCTCTTGTTGAAAGTAAAGTAGGAGTAGTATGAGCTATAATTTTGCATTTTACAATATAGTAACCGCAAGAGCTAGCTTAGTATTATATGCATAGGAAGATAGAAATAAATCGAGCCCAACTAATTATAAGAAGCGAGGAGAGAAAATTGTAAAGATGACTCAAGGTTTGTGAGTTCGCGTTATAAATTTGTAAAACATGTTATATCTTTTGAAGTTGTATTGACATCTATGAACTGATAACTTCAAACAAAAGCATGCGATTTTTTTTTTTTTTTTTGCAATGTTCTAAGCATAATCAAGCTTTCGTCATCTTGAGCTTAATGATAACCATAATAAATTACATCTGGAAGAAGAATTGCTCTTTGGTTAGCCTGACTACTGAGCTGTAGGCTATTTCTAGTTACTATAGTTGCCTTTCCATCCATGACTCCTATTTCGATTAAAGCTAACTCCGGCCTCCTTTTTTCCCTCAGAATCATTTTTCCTGTGAGGTCCTCCTCATATAAAATTTTCTTTACGAGTCTCAACATTCAAGGATTATGCTTGGGTCTAAATTTTTTTTCCAACATCCCTTAATAACACATATGGTATTATAACCAATATGCTGTTCATAATGCACATTGAGGAAGTGTTAATATAGTGAACTTCTGTAAACATTTATCATAACCATTTCAAGAACTTGAATTTTACGATTTTCTTAACTTCTAGTATTATATCTTCATTTTGGATTCATGTTCATTGTTTCTTGGTTAATCATTCAATGATGGGTTATAAACAAGTAGAAATATATAAAAAGAAGAGAAAAGAGAGAATTGCGTAAAGGCTTGAATGAGATGAATTACTCATTCACAGCTCTAGTATTTATAGATAAAATGAGCACATGCTCATATTACAATAAAAGAAACTAAATCAAATCAAAATCAAATCCTAACTTATTCTAAAGCACATTCTATGGCATATTCTATAGCATAGTCAACTCTCTGCTATTATGGTAAGTCATACCATAAATCGTGGTATCATATATATGCTATTATATGCATAGTCAAATCTCTGCTATTATGGTAAGTTATTCCATAAATCGTGGTATCATAAATACTAACACTCCCCCTCAAGTTGGTACGTGGATATCTGAAACGCCCAACTTGGACAATGCATTCTCAAACACAATCTTGCTGATGCCCTTTGTAAGAATGTCTGCAAGCTGCTGAGAGCTTGTGACAAATGGAGTGCAAATTTGACCAGAGATGATCTTCTCTCGAATGAAGTGACGGTCTACCTCTATATGCTTAGTCCTGTCATGCTGAACGGGATTTGCTGCTATGCTAATGGCAAACTTGTTGTCGCAGTAGAGTGAGAATGGAAGTGACACTGGAAGGCACAAGTCTGTCATCAAGGTTTTCAGCCAAAGCAACTCACCTACCCCAAGAGCCATAGCCCTATACTCTGCCTCTGCACTAGATCGAGAGACAACATCCTGCTTCTTACTGCGCCAAGTAACCAAGTTACCACCAATAGTGGTACAATAACCTGAAGTAGACCTCCTATCTGAAATTGAACCTGCATAATCAGCATCTGTCCAAGCCTCAACACATAAGTGACCATGATTAGCAAACAAAATACCATGGCCTGGACACCCTTTTAAGTAGCAAAGAATCCGAATAGCTGCATCAAGGTGTGGGTCACGAGGAGAGTGCATGAATTGACTCACGACACTCACGGCATAAGCAATGTCAGGTCGAGTCATGGATAAATAGATGAGCTTCCCCACAAGTCGTTGATACTGACCAATATCTGACAACAACTCCCCCTCAGAATCAGCCAACCGATGATTCTGCTCAATCGGAGTATCAGCAGGACGAGCGCCAAGCTGACCAGAAGTAGAAAGCAAGTCAAGAACATACTTGCGTTGAGAGATGAAAATGCCAGTCTTGGAGCGAGCCACCTCAATGCCCAAGAAGTACTGTAGGGGACCAAGATCCTTAATCTCAAACTGACGGCCAAGATAGCTCTTAACCTCGTTAATTCCGGTAGTATCATCGCCGGTAAGAATAATATCATCGACATACACAATGAGAGCAACTGTCTTACCGCCTGAATGACGTAAAAACAAGGTATGATCAGTTGCACTTTGATGGAAACCAAATTTGAGCATAGCAGTGCCAAAGCGATCAGACCAAGCTCGAGGAGACTGCTTGAGGCCATATAGAGAACGACGAAGACGACATACCATACCAGAATGAGCAGGAGAACGAAAGCCCGGAGGAGGAACCATGTACACCTCCTCCTGCAAATCACCATTAAGAAAGGAATTCTTGACATCTAACTGAAATAGAGGCCGGGATCGAATTGCAGCAACGGAAAATAATACACGGATGGTATTCATCTTGGCAACAGGGGCAAAAGTCTCTTGATAATTTTTGCCATAAGTCTGAGCATAACCCTTGGCAACCAATCGGGCCTTGTAACGAGCAACTGACCCATCTGGATTATGCTTAACTGTAAACACCCAACGACAACCCACAGCCTTTCGTCCAATAGGAATCGGAACCATGTCCCAAGTCTGATTTTTCTCAAGTGCTTATAGTTCTTCTGTCATAGCATCACACCATTGAGGTTGTGCTAGTGCATCTGCAACACTGGAAGGAACAGGAACCGAGGCAACAGAAACAAGAGAACTCCGATAGGAGGGTGAGAGAGCATAATCAAAAACAAAATTAGAAATAGGGTAAGTACAAGAACACTTATCCTTTCGAAGAGCAATGGGGCGATCATCAAGCGAAACAATAGCTTGAGAAGGCAGAGCTGGTGCCGAAGGAACAGGGAAGTCGATCGTGGGAGTAGAAGCTTGTACCTGTTATCTCCGACTATAAACCTGTGAAAAAGGAACAATTCACCCTGCTGGAGGGGTATCACGAGGAGGAATTATAGAAGAAGAAACAGGTAATGGTAGAGGAGTTGAAGACGGAAGAAGGTGATAATCCATTATATTCAATGGGAACCATTCACTCTGAGAACCAACTGAACCACTATAGTATAGAGCATGCTCAAAGAAAGAAACATCCATGGATATAAACTGCCACGACTCGGAGGATGGTAACACCTATAACCTTTTTGAGAGTGAGAATAGCCCAAAAATACACACTTCAAAGCTTTGGGGTCAAGCTTTGTACGAGTTTGCCCCAACTGCTGAACAAAGCACACACACCCGAAGACTCGCGGAGGAATACAAAATAGAGATGAATTGGGATGTAAGATTGAGAGTGGGGCTGCAAAGTTAAGAATCCTAGAAGGAGTCCTATTAATGATGTAAACAGTGGTAAGAACTGCATCTCCCCAAAATGACTGGGGAACATTCATGCTAATGCAGATTGCTCTGGCTAAGTTAAGGATGTGACGATTCTTTCTCTCAGAACGACCATTTTGTTGAGGAGTTTTAACATTAGCCAGCTGATGCTCAATCCCAAATTCTGTACATAACTGCAAGGTGGACCTTGCGTTGGCTGGAGCAGATACTATAAGATTGGAAGAGTGAGGACATACCAGTCATGTTGTCTGAAGCAGCAGAATCAATGATCCATGGTGTTGAAGATGTAGATACGCTATGTGCAGACGCAATAGTACTTGAGTGGGCATAAGTGGAGGTTGGCTAAGATGATGCCTCCATTTGGTTGAAGAATTGCTTGAACTTGTCCAAATCAGCTTGAGTTAAGGTAACTGTGGCAGAAGATGTAGAGGCAGGGTTGTCTGGAGTTGACCACGAGACTGGTTGTGTAACAGAATGTGCAGAGGATCGAGGCTATTGTTTCTGTTGCGGTGGACGTCCATGTAGAGCATAACAACGAGATTTGATGTGACCAATTTTTCCGCAATGGTCACACCGTCCACGTTGTCGTCCCAGAGGAGAACCGGTGGTAGTGCTCTGAACTGACTGGGATGGTGAAGTTCCTGAAAGGTTGGGAATCCGAGTTGCCAAAGCAGAACGATCAATAGAAGCAACACCTAATGGATGAGTCCGGCTCTCATCTGACAACACATAGGAATATGCATCCTCAAGAGTAGGGAATGAAGATAAGCCCAATAAATGAACACGAGCATACTCAAACTCGTCGTTCAACCCGGCAAGAAACTGAAACACTCGATTTTTCTCCACAATTCCTGCATATAAAACTACATCATCTGGATCCTTCCAAGAGTGGAAGGAATTATAATATGACATCTCCTCCCAAATAGCACGAAGGTTGGCGATGTAACCTGAAACTGTCAAGTCACTCTGAGAAATCCTGGTGATATCTCGCCCTAGATGGAAAATTCGTGCATTATTCTGCCTCTGAGAATAAGTGCGTTGAACTGAATCCCAAATCTGCTTAGCAGTCTTCATAAACATATAGCCAACAGCTATGTTTGGTTGCATCGAATTGACTAGCCAAGACATAACCATAGCATTATCTGCAAACCACTGTGGATATGCCTTCTCTGACTCAGCTAGCTCTTTCTCAGAACCAGTAATATAGCCAATCTTGCCTTTGCCACCAATGAACATGTTGGCAGACTGTGCCCAAATCAAATAGTTGGAACCATCCAACTTCACTGTGGTGATTTGAAGTCTTGGATTTTCTGATGAGTTGGTGGGAAAAATGGCACCACCACCCACAGAACGTGAGCCAAGAGAATTAACAGTTGAGGACCCTGAATCTGCAATAATCTGTCACACGACAATAAAAAGAACTCCAAAAAACACCACAAATTCTGTTAATAAATCAAAGGGTCTCCTCAGACCATTAACAATGTCTCCTCAGACCATTCCCGAAAAATTCAAATACATACCTTTTTTTAAGGAGCGCTGCCCGCTTATATATAGCCAGATAGCCTCCTTCTTAATATTCGGAACCTCTTTGTAAACTAATTTTTTTTTTTACCCAAGCCCTTCTAGGTGTTGGAAACCAACTATCCCAATTTACCCAATCTTAGAAGAGTGAAAAAGAAAATGTAAAACTTAAAAATACCTGTTTTCGATCACAAAACAGTAACACAGAAAAACATGTGTAGGCAACGTTACACGATGTCACAAACAGCCTAAGGTAGCTGTCGCACAAGTAGCAAGGCTACTGAAAGGTGTGGAAATGTGTTGGCTCTGATACCAAGTAGAAATATATAAAAAGAAGAGAAAAGAGAGAATTGCGTAAAGGTTTGAATGAGATGAATTACTCATTTACAGCTCTAGTGTTTATAGATAAAATGAGCACATGCTCATATTACAAGAAAGGAAACTAAATCAAATCAAAATCAAATCACAACTTATTCTAAAGCATATTCTATGGCATATTCTATAGCATAGTCAACTCTCTGCTATTATAGTAAGTCATACCATAAATCGTGGTATCATATATATGCTATTATATGCATAGTCAAATCTCTGCTATTATGGTAAGTTATTCCATAAATCGTGGTATCATAAATGCTAACAAAACACAATTGAGCTTATTATACATCTAAAAATTGATGTAGTAGTTAATGTTTAATCAAAAAGTCTAGGACGACGAGATGGCTGGGGAATCGTGTTGTTTTCATTTAAGTTTGGGTCAGTCTGGTTTTACCCTGTCGGTCTGCTTGAGAGATCTAATTGAAGACTTTGATAAAAGACTACATGAAGATTGCATAGAGATTGCAAGGTGATTGGTAATAAACTATTTTGATCAAATTAGATCACACATATTCGTAGAAGTTAAGTTTGACTAAGTGGACCTTAGAATTAAAATGGATAAAGTTAATTCGATTGACCTTAGTGGACATCAAAAACTTTTAAAAGGTTTTGAAGCGTTTTTAAACATAAAAAATTGTTTTATGTGGACTTGAATTTTAGAACAAGACCCATATAGGGTGTTGAATGTATCCATAATTTAATACATCTACTTTTCTGGAGTTACATGGACTAATATGACGAGCTTTATGTTTCCAGAAAGTAGACTGAATAAGTTTTTTAACGATATATTGTTCACAAAATTTCGAGTTTGAAAGTCAGAATATCCGTGTTCTGTTATCAGGACTCCAGAAAGTGGAACTAATGGAACTTTTTCTTATGTAGAACTACAACTTGGTCAAGAGTTGAGCACTGGTATGGCTTGGCTCATGCACTGATACAATTTTGTTAGTAACAAAAATACGAGTTTCAAGTTCGTTTTGGTTTCTAAGCATTCCAATATCTGGCTTGAACTTTCCAAATTGAGTTCTAATCATTTGGGAATTTCAAAAGGGTTTTTAAATTCTATAAAAAGATCTCCAGGGTTCCTATAACACACATAGGAACATAAAAGAGTGATTTTGCATTCTCTCACACTTAGGTGAGAGAGTGCAAAATGAGGATGTTAAGTTGCATGATAGGAGTGACTAGAAGAGATAGAGTTATTAATCAAAGTGTAAGAGAGAAATTAGGAGTGACGCCTATTAGTGATAAATTAAGAGAAAATACAGTTAGGTGGCATGGACATATACAACGAAGACCTATAGATGCACCAATAAGAAGAGGAAGGCTAATTTGCATAGAAGGTAAGAGACAAAAAAGGAGACTGAAATTAACATGAGATGAAATTAGTAGAAATGATTTTAAAAAGTTAAATATCACAGGAGAGATGCCTTGTAATGGAATATAATGGGAAAAGATAATTCATGTGGTTGACCCCATTCACATAGATATTAAGGCAAGGATGATAATGATGATGATCACACTTAACTACTTGAATTATGAGATTTGAGATTTTAATTCTGTCGCACATTATCTGGAGAGTTACAATTTGGCTTACAATCAATTCTGAAGGAAAACTGATCAAAATTTTATGGATAGCAGCATGTGAACTTGGAAAAGCAGGCAAGTTTGAGGCACACAGCAACTGAACTTGTAGGGACTAGTGGGAACTAGGCATAAGACTGAGGCTCTGCAGCAACTGTATCTGATTGAGTACGAAGTACAAATCTTATGTCTAGTACAAGGGTTTTCTTGACCAAATGGGAAGTTATTTCCCCCCTAAATTTTAGCAAATGATTAATCTGATGAATAGGGGTGAGTGAGAGTGCAGGCAGGGGTTAAGAGTTTTTAATTTTGGATTTAAGTTGTCATAAATAGTTAATATTATGAAGTCATTTTAATTTATCTCAATTTGGCATACTTCTCTTTTGCATTGCTAAATCTTCATACCTGTTAACATTATATCCCTCAACAGCAACACTAGCCAAGAGTTTAATCTATAATTTATTAGTATAAATCATGCAATTGGATGAGAAACTAATGTTCTTCGTTTCAATTTGCAGTAGATTCTAGTACTTTGATATGGTATGGGGCCTCCAAATACTGAATCAAATCAGAAATCTTCAACTACGGAATTAGCTTCTAGATATGGTGAAAAAGATGTTCCTGGAAGCCGATCTCCCGAACTCGAGCATTCTAATCATGATGTGCCAGTATCCACGGTATCTCCAGCAGTTTCTGGTGACTCTCCTTTATTTAGCTTAAAGAATCACTCAACAGCAGGTTCCCCTCCTGTTCAGGTGATGGAACGACCTGGTGACTCTAAATACAGAATTCCGTCCTCTGTGTTTGCTAGAACAAAGTCTACTACTCCAATGGAATGGAGTGTAGCTTCCAATGAGTCATTGTTCAGCATTCACATGGGAAATATGAGTTTTAGCAGAGATCCTATGTTCTTGCGATCTGGAGAGCTTGGTATGTCTGGAGAAACTTTCCCATCTGGTCAGTTTTTTAGCATCCCGCCTAACAGTCCACCAATTGATGAAACAACTAATAATGGCAAAAGAAGTGAAGCAGCAGCTGTTGGTACCATGAAAGAGGTCATAAGGGAAGGTTCGGAAGATCAAAGTAGAAAAAAATCGCCTCTTGCTCCCAGCATTTCTCACCGTTCTGATGAGAGCAGCGCCAGTGTCAAATCTTTTGCATTTCCAATGTAAGCTATGCCACTCCCTACTTTCAACTTATAGAACAGAAAAGTATGCATTTATACACTCTATTAAGTATATCAACAAATGTGTATTATGTGCAGTTTCTAACATATGAATTTTCTGTCTCTCTATGATGGATGGAGATACGTTATGTGTCCTAAGCTTAAATGATGCTCACACTTGTGCATATAACCTACATAAATTAACTTGCTTGATTTTCTTTACATGTTGAAATTTCATCTTAAAGACAACTCTTGTACGTGGAAATGTATGCATTTGCATAGAGGTGGAGTTATTTGTACTGTCGCGGACTAATGCTTTACTTGTGGAGTTGTTGTTGTTGTTGTTATGTGTGTGACTGAGAGAGAGAGCGAGAGATTCTTTCATTTCACCGTTGTTCCATCCTTACTTGGGTGATCTGCTAGTGTGCCTGGTAAACATCTATTTAGTGATCTAACAGCAGTTGGGCACTATTGTTGCTGTTGTTACAGAAGCCAAGGCATATTTGACTTTGTTTATGCAGTGCAAGCTTTCCAACTGAAATCATCTTTTCAAGCGCACATAATATCATTTGTAGTTTTGATATAATCCACTTTACCTAATTGCCCTTTCACATATCATAATAAGAACTTTATTGCCTGCACTATAATTTTACTATTAGTATTAAGTGAGCTGCAGTGTTAGATTTCTCTTTGGTGAGCAATTCTCGCATCCATATATACAGATGCGCCCATGTTCATAATCATTAACATGTGAAGCAGTTAATTCTGCAGGAAATATTAATTACCACCGACTACATTACCAGATAATTCCCCTTTCTCAACTGGTGACCTAGTTCTCGTCCATTTTGTGTCACTGTTTTGTTCCCTTTTATATAACTGTGTATCACTTTTAATGAGAATTTGAACTGCTTTAATTAAATTTACCCAAGTATATTTGATTTTTCAACTCTCTAATGGTAGATAGAATTTTTGTATTTGTAGGGGAGCTTTGTTTGAAAACAGATACACATTGCCTTTATGACTATGATATTTAGTAGTTTTCACAAGGATAAATAAATAAAATTTATTTGTATGATTGCATTTCTTTATCTCCCCAATTTAGCTTCAGAAACATTCAAGTAGACTTGGAAATGGGAGAAAGTGTGGATTGCAGCTGAAAGATAAATAAATTAATATATATATATATATATATATATATATATATATATATTCTTAGTTGGTACTCACACACACATGCCTTCACTAAGACTCGAACCCCTGACTTCCCTTTGGGATGTAGGGGCTTGGTACTGCTAGGCTACTGGCATAAAGGATAAAATATAATATGTGTAGACTTGAACTTGAAAAGCATCTCACGTGACATAGTAGCTCCAATAGGGATTAAATTTTTTTTTTGATCAGTTTTTCATAATACAGAAATAGGCAATCACATTGTGTAATTTTTTATCAATAAATCACAACTGACTCATTTTGAAAAATTAAAGATTGGCAGGGGACATAGATAAAGGTGTTTCAGTGAAGATGGGTGGTTCAGTAAGGGTGGCCCCAGAGCCTCCACATTCACGGCAGCAGCAGCCGCCATCGCCAAAGCCACAACCGCAGCCCAAGCCAGAACCAGAACCAACAAATTCTTCAACAACCCCGGATAAGCCTAAAACAAAATGGTTTCCTTGCTTTCCATGTTGCTCATGCTGTTGAGAGAGGCCTAAAACTCGAAACAAGTGCTCGATGACATTGTCCCCCATCAAACTGGTGGACTATCCATGCAGGCTGCATCGCAGTTTCTTTCTCTTACTGGTCAGTTAACTGCTTCTGCTCTATATGTGTTGAGAATCTGATATTAAGTCTTGACCTAGCTGTAAGGACAGACATACAGTATCTCATAGAATGTGGGCTGGCTCAGTTAACAAAAGGAGTTAATAGGAGCTATATTTGAGTATCTTTTGATCCTATTTTATGGTGATGAGTTGTAAGGATTGTAGCGACTGACGCAACTGTCCATTCTCAGTCGTTAGATAATGTGGGCCCCACGCACGGCCGCTCGGGCCACATCATGTATCACTCCTCTTGTTGCCAAGCCTTTATTCACCAATGATGTTGATACCCAAGTATGGATGCTGAGGATGTGGTATGCTGCCTTCCATGTTTCGACATGATAGCATTGTAGAATTGAGAATTTCATCATTTATTTTCTAACTTTGAGTGTGATGTATGGATTATGTAAATTAAAGTAGGATGTTTGGAGTTCAATACACCTCGAAATTTGTGCAGCTAAAGGCACATGTTCCACTGTGTTTTGTTTTACATGATGAACTTGCTAGGTTTACAATGGAATCTTTCTTGCAAAAATGATGCAACTACATTTGAAGAAGTCGGAGAGAAGTTAAATGGAACGATAACATTAATTTAAGGAGAGAAAGTAAAGAAATAAAAATATTTACCCTCTTGAATTTGGATAATAATTCAAAAAAACAAGTGCGAACCAAAACAGTTACAGACGTTTTTTTAGCAGCATTTCTAGGGTTTATTATTTCTCGGGATAAACTTTTTTTCCTTCCTTTTCGTGACAAATAACTCCCAAGATGCTCTTAAGAGTCTTAAATCCTCAAAGGTTCCACCTTTTTATTTTGAAAATGAGATCAACTACCACTAGACACATGCCTAGTGGTTTCACAATTCACATGCATAACTCCAGAATTTTACATGCATTGTTGAAGGAACCCTACACTTTGAAAAATCCCTTAAACTACAAGAAAGTTGCAAATCCCCTATATATGGGTTTGGTTGTCGTGAACATATATAAAAAATGCTATTTTATCTTCACGAGAAGGAAAAAAAAAACTGAATTATTTCTTTTTCTAATATAGAAAATCTCATCATCTTTCAAAATCGTGCAAAATGTCCCCTCCTATTGATGATAGACGAGTCTATGTTAATTTGCAATGTGAAATTATTAAAGCAACCCTAATAATGAACTTAAAAAAACAGAATATATTAACATATAAAATACCATTTAAGACCCGAAATCAATTAATTATATTCAATATGACACTTTTATTTAGAGTTGTTATTGGTAATTTCCATATTAATTTATTTTTTTAAAAGTTCATTATTAGTGGTGCTTTAGTAATTGCATATCACAAATTAACAGAGATTTAACTGGAGTCTAACAAGATTGGGCATTTTGCATAATTTTGAAAGATGAGGGGTTTTACATTAGTTTAGGGAGCTTGTTTCAAAAAAATGATTATCCAAGGGGTTTTATGCAATTACCCTATAATATATATACAAACTCACAACCATATTTCACAGGTGCATTTTCTTCTTCTAAAAAGGATAATTTTTTCCTATTTGTGAGATGTATATTTTGTAATTGGCAACTTTCGTTGTAAAAATATGTCCGATTGAATTGTAATTTTAATTTTACTTTGAGTCAATGTCAGAAGTGAAACAACAAGTACGCGCATACTTCAATTTGACGAGAACTTCACTTAGACAGGTATGTGAGTGAAGACAAAGTACATTTAATGTTTAGTGCAGTAGGACTTAGGGAAAATGAAATTTTATTCAAATTTTCGAAGTCTGGAAAAGTGGAACAAGTTGCACTTTACCATAATTGATTTTCTGAGTTTTTTTTTCAAGTCTGCCAAAGTGGAGCCGGTTGCACTTGCCTGGAATTCAATTTTTCAATTATGCTAAAGTCCAACTGATTGCACTTTAAGTAGAGCCAGTTGCACTTTGTTGATATGTGCCAGATTACAATTTTTTTTTCTAACTTTTTAATTCCCTGTTTGTACCAAAACTCCTAAGGAAGTCCTTGTACGATTTAGGGAAGTCCTTGTACGATTTAAAAAATATCTTTCGATATATTTTAAGGACACTCTAATCTATATAAACCTCTCAGAACTTCAACCCTAGTGAGGGATTTTGTTAATTCAATTAAGAAAAACATGGAATTGTTTTTAGATCATTGTTGGAGCTTTTTAAGAGAGTTTTTCATAGAAATATGATTTTATATTTTTTAGGGTACACACTTAAACACGAGTGATTTAGTGTGATGTTCTTTTTTTATTGGAGTCTGAGCAATTGAAGATTCATACAGATTCTGAGCAATTGAAGATTCATACAGATTCTGAGCAGAAAAGTAGGGTTTCTATTTTACCTTCACCAATTCAAAATTTGAAGGAATGAGGAATTGATCATACTACAAAAGCGTCAGAGCATGGTCTACCAACAATCCTTCTATAGGGATTAAGGGAGTAAGCTTGAAGTCTAAAGCGTTTAGACGGGGAAGTTGCAAAGCCAGAGACGTTTAACAATTGGTTCTAAGTAGAGCGTGGGTGTGAATCTAAGTCAGAATTTATGGTACTTTGTTTCGAATATAGACTTCTAGGCTACTTCGCTCAACAGCTCGCCCTATATCTTCCCTATACAAGACCCCTCTCCTAGTTGGATTGTTTTGCTCGAGACTGCGAAAGTCTCTGTGATTTTTGTCTCGGTTGGTTGGATTTCTTTCAACAAGGGTTTTCACGCTAAAAATCCTTGATGTCATCTCTCAAACTTTATTTACTTGCACATTATTTATTGATATGTGAGTTTAATTTTAGTTTTTTTTTTTTGGCAAAATTAAAATAAGCAAAATTTGGATAAAGAAGAAAATAAAACTTATTGATCACCCCCTAATGTTATTTAACATCAAACTTCCACATCCATTCCGCATAGCGCAACTCACACTTAGCATCAGAGCATGTAACTCAAAATAGTAAGTCGGTCATTGTGAAAAATTTTCTTAAAAAAAAAAAAAAGTAAAAGTATTTTTGTTTTCAAAATTCATCATGAAAAATCCTATGAAAAAGGGTGAATGTCCTATATATATGATAGGTTAAATTATGAGGATGACATAAGTCTCTTTTCTAAAAAATAAATATGGAAGGATCCTTAAAAATAAAAGGAATAAAATTTTAGTTAATGAGATCTTCTAAATTAAAATAAGAAAAATAAAAAGATGTTTCTATTGCTTTTCTTATTCATGTTGATGATGATACTGCTAATAATTCTTTTTCTTCTGTGCGTGGTTCTACCAAACTTGTGACATCGAGCAAGTTTGGTTTTTATGATTCGGATGATAATAAAATTGATGGAGAACCAATTAAAAGCAATTTGCTAAAACTTTTTTAGGCACTGTCAAAGGTTTATAAGAAGCAGTCTGAGAAGTTAAACTGGTGAAAAGTGATAAATATGCCTTAAAAATAAAAATGATGCCTTGAAGAAGGAAAATGAGCAAAAAATAAATTGCTTGAGGAAAACAAAACTGATATTCAGAATCTTTTGAGTAAGGTAAAATATCTCGAGAGTGAGATAAGTCAAGTAGTTCTGCTAGAGAATCTATTGTTGCTAAAATTAATTTTTTTGAACATGAATTAAAAAAATCTCAAGAGAAATTGATTGATTTTACTTCTGGACAAATTAAGTTTGATTAGATTATTAGTATTGCTAAACATGTAGCCTATAGGTGATAAAACTGGATTAAGTTTTGATGAGGCTTTAACTAGTGAGAAGGGTCAAACTGGTTTTGTTAAACCCATGATTATGAATGTGCCTATTTCTAAGCCTAAATCTATTGTCGAGCCTATGCATGCTAATAATGTATCTAAGGTGTTTTATTATTCTTATTGTGGTAGAACTGGACATAGTTAACAATATTGCTATAAAAAGAGAAAAGATTATTCTTTCAAAATTTTATGGTTATAATTCTTTTGCACAAAATAGGTTTCATGTTTGAAAGTAAAATAATTGGAATAAACCTAAAAAATTTCATGTTATAAGGAATTTATATAAGAAAAATAATTTTGTTGATGTTTATCATCATTCTCTTCAAAAGTTGAATATTAAAATAATTTGGGTAAAGAAAGATGATTTGAAGTTGTATGTGCATGTTGATGCTACGAAACTTGTTCTCAATACGTCTTTAGGTGCAAAACTCCCTAGCTATAAATGATTTCAGGTTTCAGGCAAATTTACTTGGATTTATCCAATTACTCAAAACTACGATGCATCACGAATTTTCATCCATTTTAAGAGAAGAGTGTTGAAAATATGTTTGGACATGGAATTAAGGCTATTGAAAATGATTAGGGTGGAAAATATTGAGCATTTACAGAGTTATTATTATCTAATGGCATTCAAAATGTGGCGACCTTGTGGGCTAGTGTGTCTGAGCGTGTGCAAGTAGCACTAGTAGGCTATTACATTGGCGAGCTATAAATGCACAATTTCACATCGCCGGGGTGTGGAGAGGGCAAGTGTTATATATAGATTCAACAACCTTCTACGAAATAATGCATTTTAAAGCCGTGAACCCACCAGAACTCCGGAGTTAAGCGTGCTTAACCTGTAGTAGTACTAGGATGGGTAACCCCAGGGAAGTCTCTAGTCTGGGGGAGCCAAAAGCGGATAATATTGTGCCTGGCTAAGGTGAGGGTCATTACAGATGGTATCAGAGTCTGATCCAGCAGGAAGTGTGGCCAACTAGGACGTTAGGCCCAAAACGGGGATGATTGTGACGACTTGGTGTGTGTGAGCATGTGTAGGTGGCACCAGTCGGCTACCACACTGGGCGACCTACATGTGCACAATCCCACATCAGTTGGGTGTGGAGGGGGCAAGTGTTATATGTAAATTCAACACCCTTCTATAAAACAAAGCATTTTAAAGTTGTGATGGCCGTGAACCAACCAGAACTCCGGAATTAAGCATGCTTAATCTGGAGTAGTATAAGAATGGGTGATCTTTGGGAAGTTTCTGATCTGGGGTAGGGTTGTTTCACAAAATCATATTTCTTGTCCCTACGCTCATGAACAAAATGGTATTGTTGAATGCAAACATCGACATATTATTGACACAAGCCTAATGTCCATGTCACTTAAATACTAGGATGATGCTTTCTAAATTTCAGTTTGTTTAATAAATTAGCTTATATCTATAGTGCTTGGTCATAAAATCCCTTGGGAAGTTTTGTTTGATAAGCCTCCCGATAACAAAATTTTAAAGGTCTTTAGTTGTGCTTGTTATTTTTTTCTTCAACCATATGATTTGAACAAGTTTCAATATTGATCTTCCAAATGTGTCTTTTTGGGATGTAGTTTATCTCATCATGGCTATCAATGTTTTGATATTTCATTGGGCCACCTTTATATTTCAAGACATTTCATTTTTAATGTGACATATTTTTCATATTTTCATCTCCTATGGTTACACGAACAACTAATAATAGCTC